GTACTGTAGACAATTTCTATGACGCTGTATTGCATGCGTAGAGTCGACGTCACGATTTGTGCGTATAATTTTTTCTCCGCTATTTTCAACAAATAATTCACTTTTTTCTCCTGGGAAAACGTCGTCAATCTTATTTTATTTTATTAACCTGAACTTTGTTTTGACAGCGCAAATTATACCCAAATAAGCGTCTTTGGTTGATTTCTGGCACCCAAAATTGATTCTCGTGTCAGTCCCGGCCTAATTACGCGTTTAGGAATGACCTGGTGATCCAAAATTGACCTCGCATAAAAAAATACTGCCGCCTACGGCGGGTCTCGGGATCATTGCGTCCAGGTCCTGGTAATATACAAAGATCTGAATAAACAAGGAAGTCAAGTTGTTATTAAAGGTACATCAAGGTTTACTCAGATTGTTTGTTTGGTTTCACTTGTGTACTCTGAGATTTTGAACCTGGGTCAATGAAAGTTATCAGATTAAGAGAAATCCTTTTATGATGAGTTGTACTCACATAGAGTACATATTAATTCAATTGTTTGCAGATGTTCCATGTATTATTTTAATATGAGTATTTTATATTTAAATAACGGAGTCTGTGACATTCATGCTTTGTTTCAATATTATCATTATTTAGAATGCGTTGACTTAAGAAAAGAGTTTTAGACTAAAAGGCGCACAAAATAAAATACATGCAGGAAATAAGAGCATACGAGTCACAACCTCAACGGTACAGTGAACAACAAAACCTTGAAGTAAATAGTGAAATATTGCCTCAGTCAGGTAATCATGTAGAATCAGATGTTGTTACTCATGAAGTTGATAATTTTATGAACAAACTTGACAGACTAACACATCAAAGTGAAATACATGTATATTCAAATGTAATGCAATTACTAAATCAGTTTTATCTGTGTTAAAAGAATAGTGTGAGTACTGATTGGATCGATAGATGTTATAAATGGACTCCCTGGTGCTGGTTTACAAAACCTTGGACTTGCATATTATCAAAATGTTATTATACAAGTATTAATACATACTCAAGCATTTGCAAGCTACATTCTTAATACCAAAACCCAGCAATGCAGACAAAATAAATCACCATCTTGTTTGTTATATTGAATGGGAATCATTTATAATCCAGATGTATTTGGGTAACAGTTTTAATAGTGCAGCATGGTTAGAGAAATACATTTAAAGTACAGAATTATTTAATCCTCTTGTGGAAAATGATGCCCATGAGTTTCTTGTGATTATTTTTGACATTTTAGACTACAATATGACGTAAACAGTAATAATATGCCAGTCCATACTTTACAAAGTATATTTATGGGTATCTATAATAACACATATAAATCAAAACATTGTGCATATCACAATGTTAGACTGAACCATTTAGTTGTTTTAGAACTTCCCATCACACATTCTAGTAATAATGAACCAGTGTATATTTCAAATTCCCATAATGGTTATTTTAGTGAAGAAACATTACATGAAATTCGTGTAGTCATTGCATCAAAGTTTATGACATTGTAAACAATGTGACCAATCAAGTATTACCACAATACCTTGTTATGAAGGACATAATGATCAACCACTATTCTAGAGAAAACTAAACAAAATCAATGGAAGCAGAAAATCACAATATCAACACCCCTCCCCCAAATGTATAGCTTAGAGTGATATTTGGTAGTAAGAAATAAAAATTATGTTATAAAATTTATCTATTTCAAGAATTTAGCTAATTCCTGGTTTCAACTTAACCAGTTTTATTAACTATTCTCTTGCGGGCAAGGTTTCAATAGTTTTGCTATGTTTAGAGAAAGGGGTTCCTGAGCCACCCCACCCATAGAGAAACACACGCACACCCTATAATTGCAAATTGTTGTACACAAAAAGACAAGATTAGACGTATTTTAGCATTATTGTCTAAGCATTTTAATGTAGAATGCTTCTCACGATTTTTTCTGTTCTTTTCAGATGTTAGCGCACATAGCAATGACACGATCTTTTGACTGTCAGTATTTGCATAATTGCATAGTGTTTTTGACAAACGATCAGCCCTTGGAGCATTATATAATGGACATATAAAAACAAAGTGAATTTCATTTTCTACCACTCTAAATTCAAAAACTACAAATCATTTGATCTAACGGTATTTGTGTGTGTCTGTCTAACTCAATATTAAGTTTATGGCAAAAATGGCGAAAACTTTCCAGTATATATCTTTGCCTTTAGTTGTTTGCTAATACAGTATCTCAGGTTCTAATACAACTTTGATTTTTCTGTAAGTACACAGCCTGGATGATTGTGAAATTGAGGTATATGCCATTCTTGCTGACAACAATTTTTTATTCTTTAAGTAAATATCTCTAAGAAATTTGCAGTATTCCCAACTTGTTATTTAAACCTGACAATGCGAAACCATATTTGAACAGAAGATTTTTTTTATGTAGGTTGCCCAAGTCTGCCGGTCTCGTCTAATCGTTTAAGCATTATATAACATGTTTTCTGGTATCCACGATTTTTAGTTCAATTTGAATCAATATGAGATACAACACTTGAAATGAACAC